CACCACACTCTACAACACTGCACACACCAGTGCTCTTCACGGGATCACTGCTCACCACACTCTACAATACTCACGTCTTTTTGTAGGTTTTTTCATACGTGGGATGGACCAAGTCCTCATCTTCAGGTTCTTCTGGAACTTCACAGTTTCTAAAAACAAGGATGACAGGAGGGTCACGCGTCAGCAGCCTCACCTGCCCCTCCCCCAGTGCTGTCTGCCTCTCAGGAAGGGCACTGCCGTCTGGTTGGTACCTGAACTGTGGGTCAGGGTTATTGTAGCAGTACCATTTCTCTGGAAGCTGATCTATTCCATCTGGTAATTTTCGCCACTTTAGACAAGAATCACACTGAACCCATGTCTGATCAGGGCGCTTCCTTTAACAAAACAAAAACAAAATATTAAAATGGAATTATGGATTCAAGTATTCCATTTATTTTCTACATTGTTTCCACACTAAATATTTCCTTATCTCCAATCCTGAAAACTGTGTGATCAAACTGTATTTAATGTATAATGAAGTTTTTAAAGTGGGCAACTTTGCAGAGTTAAGGTCACATACCGTTTTAATAGAACAAATGTCTCTTTACTCCTAGCCCTTGGAAGGCAGAAGAATGTCAGTAAGTTCTAGGCCACCCAGGGCTATAATGAGGCCCTGTCTTGGGAGGTGAGGGTGGGAGGTGGTGATAGTGTACACTTTTAACCCCAGCACTTGGTAGGCAGCAGAGGAAGGCAGATCTGAGTTGAGGCCAGCCTGGCCTACAGACCAAGTTCCAGGACAGCCAGGGCTACCTAGAGAAACCCTGTCTTGAAAGACAAGGAGGAAAGTGAGGGAGAGGGGGAGGGAGGTTGTCTTAGGAAGAGGTGTACACAGCCAGCTAGAGAGAGAACTCATTGGATAAGAACAATTGCTTCTTTCTAGGAGACCCAAGTACAAGTCTCAGCACACACTTGTAATGCACAACCACCTGGGACTCCAGTTCCAGGGCATCCAACAGCGAGGTGGACACCAGACACTCATGAGCTACACAGACATGCAAGCAAAACAACCATATACTTAGGTAAAACATTTTAAAAAAATTATGAAGACACATTTTACACAGGACTTTCTTAAGGTTTTCAACTCTAGACTGACTTCAAACTCTGTAGACCAGGGTGGCCTCACCTCAGAGGCCCACCTACTTCGGCCTCCTGAATACTGAAATTAAAGGTGTATGTCACCATGCCCAGTTAGCTTCAAATTCTTCGTCCTCTATTCTCTGATCACTGAGTACTGAATCACAGAGCTGACTCACCAATAACATTTTCTTTGTTGTGAATGTTTGTGTGCACGTATGCTTGTGTGTGCACATGTGCTCGTGGAAGGCAGAGGTCGACCTGCAGTGTCTTTCTTTAGCAACACCATCCACCCTAGGTTTTTGAGGCAGTTCTCTCGTGGGCCATGTAGGCAAGGATTACAAGTGCATGTTCCCATGCCCAGCTGTCACACCTGGGTTCTAGAATCAAACTCAGATCCTCATACTTGCCAGCAAGCACTGTATTGCCTGAGCTATCTCTAGCCCCTCACCAATAACTTTTCAATAGTTTTAAACAGTGGGTAGAAGCAGAGAATGGGGCACACGCCTTTCATCCCAGCACTTGGGGGGCAAATTTGAAGCCAAAGTAAGCTTAATGGGTCCTTGTTGCAGGCCACAAGAGCTGAACTACAGCTCACTGGCATGCTTGCCCAGCATGGGCCCAGGGTGAAGCACAGATGCAGAACAGGTACTCTGTATAAACAAGGCCTCATGAACGTACAAGTTCAAATGAACTCAATGTTTACAAAATTAAGAAAGCAAACTAACCTAATAACCCTTGTTCCCTAAGATTTCTAGGATTCCAAATCCTGGCAAGGTCTTTCATACTCACAAAGGCACAGGCCCAGTATCTTTCTAATGTTGCCTATCACTGCACAGGGATTTTACTCACTGTTCATTTGTAGAATTATTAGTATGTGCTACATGTACTAATGAGCACATGCCAGGCATCATACTGTACAATTGTTTTTCTTTTACTTTATTGTTTCATTTTATATGTATGAGAGTTTTGCCTGCATGTATATCTATGCACCAGGTGAGTGCCTGGTGCCCAGAGAGGCCACAAGAGGGTGTAGGATTCCCTGGGACTGAGTTAGACTGTTGCTGAACCACCAGGTAGGTGGTGCTGGGAGTCAAAGCTGGGTCCTCTGGAACAGCTCTTAACACTGAGTAATCTCTCCAGCTCCAGGTCCTTCAACACCCTCTCCAGCCAGGAATACAAGTGGTGCACAAAAACATACATGCAGGCAAAGTACGCGTACACATGAAATAAATAGACATCCACTCACTACTGTGGCGTATGTTTATTTACTTTCTTGTGTGAGCCCTATGTTTGTGCAAACCCACAGATGCACCGTCACCTTTAAAAGGACCTAGCACTCAGTACTTACTGTATGTCTTCGACCGGCAAATTTAGAGGGTATTCTGCATTTTTCTTCACTTTCATTTCATTCCAGTAATCATTCAGCTTTTCTCCTAATGCTAGTATTGTAAGCCTTAAAAAAATAAATCATAACATTAATTCAAGAAAAAAATAAAACATCAATTCAAGATCAATTTTTTAAAAGTAAACATAAAACAAAGGTAATCTAACAATGATTATAACAATATTGTGAGCAGAAACAAAAACCTCCAATTGTATCACTAATAAAAACATTCAAGTATGCCACCTTTCTTTCTGCAAAGATTGTTGTCAATTCCTAGATTATTGGGGGGGGGTAATGCAAAAAGTGAGGGAAAGGGACAGGGAGGACTGGAGGCACAGCTCAGCAATAGTGCACTCATCTAATATGTACGAACACCCAGAAGAAAGAGCAGTAGGATACTAGGAGCTACCACTGCTGAGATGCACACTATTGTCTTAGTTGGGGTTTCTACTGCTGCGACAAAACACCATGACCAAAAAGCAAGTTGGGGAGGAAAGGGTTTATTTGGCTTACACTTCCAGATCATAGTCCTTCACTGGACTATGTCAAGACAGGAACTCAGGAATTCCTGGAGGCGGGAGCTGATGCAGAGGCCATGGAGGAGTGCTGCTTACTGGCTTGCTCCCCATGCTTGCTCAGCCTGTTTTCTTATAGAATCCAGGACCACCAGCCCAGGGATGGCACCACCCACCATGGGCTGGGCCGCCCCTCATTGATCACTAAATGAGAAAATGCTTTGCAGTGAGGTCTCACAGAGGCATTTCCTCAACTGAGGCTCCTTCTTCTCTGATGACTCTAGCTTCTGTCGAGTTCACACATAACTAGCCAGTACAGCTGCAAAGCAATATACCGAGAGAACCAGAAGACCCTTGCATTTCAATCCTAACTAATAAAGTCACTGTTTCACAGCTTTTTCTTTCTTTCTTTCTTTTCCCAATTTTTCATCCAGAAATTAACTATGTAGACCAGGCTGACCATGAACTCAAAGATAACACCTCTCCCTGCTTCTGAGAACTATCACCATGTAACTTATTCCCACTCAATGCCCGGCTGGAGGCTTTGTTTTGACCCCTCAGGAAGTGTTTCTGTCACCGATACACAGATGCCCTAATGACAGCTCATCTTCCTAAAGTCACACCTGTATCTTTTTATCATCACTCACATAACTCAAGCTATTGAACTACATTCCTTTCTTCTTAGTGGGAACACGGCTTCAAAGGATGTATATTAATATACAGTTAATATAATATATAATTATTATATAATTAATTATATCATTATATTATATTATTAATATATAAATTATATTATACTATATGATTATAATTATAAAATTAATTATATTATTATATAATTACTATAATATATAATATAATAGACTACTGGTTTTCAACAATAGCCAATAATCCCACAGCTATCAAGTGATTTAAGAATGCCAACCCTGTTACATGTGTCAACATCTACCAGGTCCTTTCCATTTTTTAATTTTTGTCTATGCTACCAATGTTTTTGGTCCTACATAAAGAACCTGCCTAACTGGGATGGAATCAGTGGTAGAGCACCTGCCCAGCAAGCTTGAGCCAGTACTGCCACAAACCAACATTTTTACAGACAATCCCTTTCCTACTACGCTATAACCTCTGAAATAAACCGAATGCTCAGAGGCATAAAAGGCCATCTAGTTTTAGACCATCTGTCCATCATCCCACTAAAATAGACTTCTTAGTTACTACAAGTTTAGTGCAATCTAGCAACGATTAAAGGAATACTGTGAAGAGAAGAAAATCCCAACAATGAAAAAGCTGGGCATGGTGGTACGTGCCTTTAATCCCAGGACTGGGCAAGTACATCTTTCTGAGTTCTAGTCCAGCCTGGTCTACAAAGAGTTCTGGGATAGTGAGGGCTGAAACAGAGAAACCCTGTCTCAAAACAAAACAAAACAACCCAAAACAAATAAACAAAAACACACCAACAATTCATAAACATTCAAAATTAGTCCATGTGCTTTCTTCTGTAGGGACTTAGTGGACAGAATATAAAACAGGCTTATTAAATACTGACGCCAACACAAATGTGTTTCAAGGAATCACCTTCAATTCCATTCCACAATGTTTTATGGTTTAATTTATATGTCTCCGTACTCTCAGATAACAGACTCTTCATAAAGGTGATATTTTTCCCCTTACTCTAATACTACTACTATTATTATTATTGAGCTAGAGTCTCACACCTCATTCTGAAGACCAGAGGAGTCTTGCATTAAATTCTCCTGCCTCAGCTTCCCTGTTACTGGGATTATAGGTGTGAGTCACCAGCCCAGCTAATTGTTATTTTTCTTTCCAGTTTCTAATATTTGAATTAAATGACTTATATTAATGTACGATGCGTGTGTGGGTATAGATGTTGAAGTCAGAGGACCACTTCCAGGAGTGTTCTCCTCCCTCCTTTAACACAGGCTCTGGGGATCAAACTTGGGTTGCCAGGCTTGCGCTTCATTTACCTTCCCTGGATTATGTCAGCTACTGCCCCTGGAACAATGGTGAACAGCTGATATTCTCATTCATTCTCACTGTTAGAGGAAACCTACCACTAAATTGCCATTAGAAATGTTACTCACTTCCTTTATAAATTAACTCGGCTTAGCATGCCCTTGGTTATAAGTGGTTCCTTTAAAAACCTCACAAATGGGGGCTGGTTACGGTATACACCTTAGATCCCAGCAACTTAGGAGGCCAAGGCAGGCTGATCTTGGAGTCTGAGGCCAGCCTCGTCTGCATAACAAGTTCTAGGCCAGCCAAAGCTACATAGTGAGACCCTGTCTCAATAAACGAGGCTAGAGGGATATCTCAGTGGTTAGAACACTGTTATTCTTCCACAGGACTCAGGTTTGACTCTCAGCACCCACACGGTGGCTCATAACCATCCATAACTCCAGTTCCAGGGGCTCCAAAGCCACCTTCTGGCTTCCACAGGCATTAGACATACGAATGGTACATAATTATAGATGCAGGCAAAACACCCCACACATAAAATAAACAAATAAACATGCAAACAACAAGCCAAAAAACCCAAAACAAAAAGTTCACAAATGGGTTCTGAACTTAATGAAGAGCACATAAAACATAAAACCAAGCCAAAAAAAAAAAAAAAAAAAAAAAAAAAACCCAAAAACTTCACAAACAGGTACTAAACTTAATGAAGTACACTTCCCCATGGATATGAAGACACCTGGTATTTTTGCTTTTTTTCAATCAATGTGATCAATGACGCTGGTTTTTCAGTATTGAAACTACCCATCGGGGTCCTGATATCACACAGAAGTGTTTGTCACTGATCCTGATGGCCCCTTAGGGTGTAGGGTGATAGATAGCTGACTCCCTGAACTTACTGACTTCCTTGTGAACCACACAGATGCTCAAAATAAATCAACATAAAACAATTTTTACCAGTAATCTCTCAGAATATAACCCCTTTGGTTTTAATAGTATTTGCTACTATTTTAAAAAAGTAACCGGTCCATATAACCTTCTTTTCACAGTGTGCCTGGGTTTATTATCAAGGCTATGTACTTTCATAATAGCTTCCAAAGAGTTTGTGAGATTCATAACACATCTTCCTTAAATGTTTGCACTTAGAAAATATTACTTATTTTCTGAGTCTGTGAAAATTAGTTCTGTTACCCTCTTAATGGTCTTTTTTGGAGACAGACCCTAATTCTTAAATTTTTATTACATTTACTTACTCTGTGTGTGTGTGTGTGTGTACACAGCATGATGCCCTTTAGAGGTCAGACAACTTGGAGGAGTTGGTTCTCTCCAGCTACCGTGTGGATTCCAGAAATCAAACTCAGAGCAGCAGACGTGGCAGCAAGTGCTTTTTTCCCAGTCAACTCCCATCAGGGCCTCAGTCTCGAAGCTGCCTCAGCTCACAGGTTCCCTTGCCTTAGCCTCTTCAGCACGGGATTACAGGTCTGCCTCATATCTTTCTCACTGTGACCGCGGACACAGACCCATGCTGGCGTCCTCCTGTCTCACTGTATCTTACACACTTGCTGGTGTGCCCATGTCGGTCGGCATGCTTTCCACTCCAAATCCAGTCCGGGACAGTGAGGACTCTGTGCTTATTTTATGCTGAAGCATTTTTATGTCTTCACTGTTACTGAACTTCTGGTCTGAAGGCAAGTGCTCCCAGCTGTGCCCAGCTGTGCCCAGCAAGGCTGAGAGCAATATGGACTACTGGGGCGCAGCTCAAGAGGATACAGAAGGAACAATGTTACAGCTGGGCTAGTGACCATTCATTTAATAATTGGGCCAAGAATCTGGGTGTTTTTTGCCCTTGTCCTAAGAATATGCCTGAGGCTAAATTGAAAATCTTCAGAATAATTTTGTTGGCAGGGGAGATTTCAAGATAGCCTAACATTAACATGGTTATTAGTGACTGTTTGTTTCTTTTGGTTTTTTGAGACAGGTTCTCTGTGTCTCTGTGACTTAGAAATCACTATGTAGACCAGGCTGTCCTGGAACTCACAGAAATCTGCCTGCCTCTGCCTCCTCAGTGCTAGGACTATAAATATGTGCTACGATGCCCAGCTTATCCGTTATTTTTTTTTTCCTCGTTTTTCTAGACAGGCTTTGGAGCCTGTCCTGGAACTCACTTTGTAGACCAGGCTGAACTCAGAGAGATTCTGCCTCCAGAGTGCTGGAGTTAAAGGCACGAGCACCACCACCACCAGGGTTAGCAATTATTCTTAAGCAGATACCACCTAGCTAACCTTCCAACTGTACAATGAAAAGGCCTAGGAACTGTCTGTTCCTAAAAAGAAGCAACAAAGGAAAACTTATGTGTAATATGAATCGTAAAGGGTCTAATTAATAAAAAAACTGGGTGCCAGCTATTGGTGTAAATTCTGAAAGGCTAAAGGTGTGTGTGAGCGCCACCGTTTTCTGGTCTCTATGTCTAGCTAGTGGCTGTTCTGTTCCCTGACCCCAGATAAGTTTCTTCAGGTGCACAATATATTAGGGGACACAATATCACCACACTTATGCAAATGAATTTCAGGGAGGGGTCAGTCTCCATCCCAAGCAGGAAGCAGAGGCAAAGTGGGGTGAAGGAACTGTGGAAACTTCTTCCTCAGTTAAGGAAAGCTGCTGAAACCAGCTGTATTGCAGGAAATCCCTATATGGAGGCCCGAAGAGGACACTGTGTGAAGCTGTCCAAGTGAAGTCTGGATTGTGCTGGAGACCCTTGGATGTTAGAGGGGCCATCTGTGGAGTGTCTGCCATGGAGAGTGCAGACAGGGTGTGGAACCAGCCCGAGAGGGAGAAGTGTGTTGCAGTCAACAAAGCCTCTAATTCCAGTAGAGGCAAGAGGATCTTTGTGAGTTCGAGGACAGCCTGCTCTACACAACAAGCTCCAGGACAGCAAGGACTACAGAGAGAAGCTCCTTCTCAAAAACAAACAAACTGCTGAAAGAGAAAAGCTATCTAAGCCTTGTGACATCAGGCATAAAGCTATAGGATTGAAGTTTGCCAAGATAGGTTTGGATCTTGTTTTGGTCCAGTATTTACTTCTTCTCTGCACCCTTCCTTACTCCTTGCTTTTGAATGACAACCTATATTTTGTGGAAGAACACAGTTTGCTTTTTCTTATTTTCCAGGGGTTTTTAAAAGATTGCCTGAGTCTCAGAAGAGAATGAACTTTTGACCTGTGCTAGACTGTGAAAGACTACAGGGACTTTTGAAGGTGGACTGAATGAACTTTGCATTATAGCTATGACCCTACCTGGGCCAAGGAGTGGACTGTGGTGAACTGAATGAGAACAGCTCTCCTAGGCTCTTATGTTTGAATACTTGGCTCCTAAATTGGTGGAATTATTTGGGAAGGATTAGAAAAGCGTGGCCTTGGAGGAGGTGTGTCACTGGTGGGTGAGCGCTGAGGTTTCCAAAGCTCACAACACTTCCCAGTTGGCTTTCTTCTCTGCCCTGTGCTTGTGGGCAGATGAAGCTTCGTCACTGCTCCAGTGCTGTGCTTACTTGCCATCATGGTCCCACTCGTGATGGTCATGGATTTAACCTCTGAACTGTAAGCCCCAAATTAAATGCTTTCTTTTATAAATTGCTTTGGTCATAGCAAATAAAAAGACATCCAGAAAGAAAATGTATGGGGCTGGAGAGATGGTTCAAAGGGTAAGAGAGCTTACTGCTCTTGCAGATGACCCGAGTTCGGTTCCCAGCACCGAAATCAGATGGCTTACAACCTCCTATAACTTCAGCTCCAAGGGATCCAACCCTTCTTTTGGACTCCGTGGACATCTGCATTCACATGTGCACAGATCCACACAGACACACATATGTATACATATTTAGAAAATAAAAAGGAGAGAAGCCCTACACTACAGAACTTTAAAACAGTGAGTAACTCATATAGGAAAGGGGCTGGTCTTCTCTTCCATCTCAGAATTTGTCATCTATCCCACCATGAGAAGAATATACAATTCTGTATCTCAACATGATACAGAAAATAGAGCAAATCTCTGCCTGTGGATACTGGGGTACCTACCTGTAGCTGCAGCATTTGGGAGGTGTAGGAAGGACTGTCAGAAGTTCAAGGCAGAGTAGAGTACATAGCTAGTCCAAGGCCCGTCTACACAGATCTACCCCATCTCAAATATGTCCTCTGGCTAAAGGGGTGAATATTCCAGCCATCTCAGGAACACGTTTGCTCAGAACATTAGTATATAAATGGGCAACATACCTGTACTCATTAGTATAGTCAAAATCCTGCTTATTATGAGTTGGCTTAAGGAAATTACATTCTATAATTCCAACCACTCCAACGCCCATGTTGTTTGCCTGAAATATAATGAAACAGTATTTCAGACATAACACATGTTTACTATATCCTTCAACAAAGATTTACATCATAAACTGCTTTCTTACACTTTATATGACTCCCCTGAACTTTCCTGGTAAGTACTTAGTGTTTTTTATTAAGTTAATTCCTGGATATATTGGAGCTTCTTCCACACCCACTCCTGGCAGGTGTCCGTCTAGATGAGAACTGTGAGCAAACTAACAAAGGAAAGGACCACACGGAATTCAGTGCAGGGACTTTCACAAGCACAGCCACGGGTGAGCACAGTCCTGGTGTCGGTGCACCCACACCAGCAGCCCTCACCCTGCTGCCACCTGTAAACCACTGTACCACAGGCACCTGCAGCTTGTAGTCCATGTCTCCTTCTTACACCTGGCACAAACAAGTCTAAACGAATCCACACTACGATGTCGTCAGAACGTATAATACATTCTACAGGAACTCCGAATAAATTGAAAAGAATGAAACCGAAATACTTGGGGACAAAGAGAAAGCGCGCCTGAACCCTTCCCACATGCTCACTTCAGCAGCCCATGCAAAGCTGGAAAGGCACACAGGTTAACACGGCCCCTGTGCCACGAGAGTCCTTATCTAAATCAAACAACTCACCTTTAAAAGGGCCGTGTGTGCTCATGATTATCACCCAATACTAGAAAATAGAGACGCTCTGATGTATGCAGAACAAACTACATGGTGGGTTATGACTAAAAACCTAAACTAATATTACAACAATGAAAGTTACTTAAAAGGGCAGTAATTCTAGAAAAATGGCTCGGGGAACAGGCCCCTGGTACCAAGCCTAACCTGCAGCCTCACATGGGAGGAGGGCAGTTCTAACCTATCAGCTACTGCTTTTCAGGCTGGTTCCATAAATACCAATAGAAACAGCCAAGTTCAACAACAAACGAACACCAATCTAATTCATTTCATTAACCACGTGACCCATATCCAAAGGCAGTTGAGAGACTGGCATCTACAGGAGTCATGCTAGCTTAGTTTGAGACCAGCCTGTGATACATAGTGAGATGGTCACACACACACACAAGACAAAACACCCAAACTTCCCTCCAAACAACTCAACCCAGAGATATACCTCTGCGTCTGAGAACCACACTCCCTAAGTCTGGGGCAAACTACTTATTAGTCCCCAACTCCAAATCTGTAAGATAAAGTAAATCCTCCGTCTCTCTTGTAGGATGGAGAACCAAATGACAAGTGACCACGGCCAATGACAGGCCAAAGCTGCTTTAAAAGACTGATATCCAGCCAGGTGTAGTGCACGCACCTTTAATCCCCGCACTCGGGAGGCAGAGGCTGGTGGATCTCTGTGAGTTCAAGGGCAGCCTGGTCTACACAATGAGTTTCAGTACAGCCAGGGACACATAGAGGGACCCTGTCAGAAAGCAAACACCCCTTCCCACCTCCAAAAAGACTGACACCTAAAAAGCCATGAGCAAAAAATAAATTATTCTTTTGCTAAAATCATTTTTTTTTCAAATATAAACCTTACCTTTAACTGACATCCCACTTTTTCATAAGCCTTGATGAGTCTATTTTTGTGATACATCATTATCCCATAATGATCTTTATTTCTGCAGTTGAACCCAAAAGTAATTCTCACTGTTCTAGTCTTGAAATATTAAGGAAAATTCTGAGCATAACACTTCATCCCCTTGCATGACTCTTTCTGTATACTAATAAACCCCGACATACAGGGACTGCAGAGACGCTCTCCTTCCATGGGATGCAAGTTTGAGTCTCAGCATCTACATGGCGCCTTACAGCCATCTCAGTCCCAGGGGATTTCACACGCCACTGGCCTCCTTGAACACCAGGCACCCGCGTGATATACACACATGCAGGCAACACATCCATACATATAAAATGAAAATATATAAATCTATTAAGAATAAGTACGTGCCAAAGTACACACAGAAAGCAAATCTGGAGACCAGACTGCTGTGGGGAGGGCTCGTGAGATGGAGCAGCGGGCAGGACTGGCCACGAGCCTGGCTAACACACGGACTTCCACCCCTGGGGCCCACGGTCAAAGAGGAGGGCCCCTGCAAGCCGTCCTCATCTCCATGCACCCACTTACGAACACACAAATGAACCTAACTCCGTAACGTCCCAGGGACGGAGAGGGAAAGAACAGCTGACTCTGACTGTGCGTCCCCGTCTGCACAGCTCAGACATGAAGGATACTAGAAATTTAGGCCGGTACACATCACGTTCAATGTAGGCAAGGCTCTTGGAGACCAGCTGTGTCTTCACTTTCTGTCCACGCAGGATGATCTGCATTCGTGGCTTTAGGTATAAAATACTGCAGTAAGCCTGGAAAGAAACAAAGCAAAATCTGTCTTTTCCAAAGACTTATTCACAGATGGATTCAGTAGTACTCAGATATGAATGTGGTAACGAACGCCTTAACTCCTCACTCAAGCAACACAGATACAGAGGTGGGGTATAGTTCATGAAAAAGGTGTGCACTGAACATGTAGGAGGCCCTGGGTTCCATCAAGTATCAAGCAGTGAAAACACGAAACGACATTAGTTATTCTGATTTCAAAAGAATTTTTTTTTGAGACAGGGTCTCAAAATAGCACAAACTGCAATACGAATTTCTAAAAATGGTCTTTTAATAAAAATCCCGGATCCAGATAATGCTGGAAGCTCAGAGAGACCGGGAACAAGCCACCACCACACCTCACCTCCAGCACTCCTCAGCCTGAAAAGCCTCTGCTCCTGTCTCCACACGCCTTATATAGCTTTCTCTGCCCAGGCATCACTTCCTGGGATTAAAGGCGTGTGATTCCCCAATACCTGAACAAGATTAGAAGTGTATGTACAGTATATTCTAACAATTTACCTCAAATGTGTATCAATATACAAAATTTGTATACAATATACAAAAACTCAATCCAATGAAAAATATGTAAAATTAGTAGTTCCTTTTTAAAAGTAAATTCAATAATCTACCCTCTTATCTTATATCTATCTCCTCCTCCTTTGCTTTTCAGAGCAGGTTGGATAATCTGCCCTTTTACCCTATTACTTTTTGTTTTTTTGTTGTTTTTCAAGACAGGGTTTTTCTGTAGTTTTGGAGCCTGTTCTGGATCTCACTCTGTAGACCAGGCTGGCCTCAAACTCACAGAGATCTGCCTGGCTCTGCCTCTCAAGTGCTGGGGTTAAATCCATGTGCCACCACCGCCCGGCTTATCCTATTATTTCTATATCTTTTTTTTTTTAGTAGATTCAATAACCTATCTTTTATCTTATATCTATATCCTCTTTTTTTCTTTTCAGAGTAGATTCAATACCCTTTTATCCTATCATTTCTATTTTTTTAGAGTAGATTCAATAATCTACCTTCTTATCCTATCATTTCTATATAATACATGTCTGTATCAACAAGCTACCTAGAACTCAACATATAGCTAAAGACGGCTTCTACCTCCTCGAGGAGCAGTTCGGGGGTGCACCAGCACACCTACAAATTCCAACACTCAGAGCCCAAGCAGGAGGATCTCCACTTTGTGGCCACCCAGTGAGATCTTTCTCCAAAACAAGTTCAATTGTCAGAACACAATTCAGGAATGGAGCCGTGTGAGGAAAATACTTCACGCTTGTGAGAACACTTACACAAGAGTCTTGTGACTTCAGTTTCTTCAGGAGAAACTGTTTTTGGCATGTGCTTTCATGGTCCTCCCGGTTGCAGGGAGAGGAGTGAGTTGACTTCAGATTATTGACTACTGCTTGCTGCTGTTATTCAATTAAATGTTTAAACTACCCTTTAGATGTTTGCCTCTACGGGAAAATGTTTTTGCCCTGTGGTGGCTTGTCCTTGGGATTGTATACAGCTTGAACTCATGAGAATTTTTTGTTTCTTTGGGACAGGGTTTTTCCGTGTAGCTCTGGCTGTCCTTGAACTCAGAGATCCACCTACCTCTGCCGCTTGAGTGCTGGGTTAAAGGCATACTAACCCTCAGAATATAAACTGTCTGAGGCTCTGAATAAAGTTGGCTATTGCATGAGACTTTAGTCTCTTCATTTATCTCTCCTTCTCCCAGGTCCTACCACTTCTAGAGCAGTGACACTCAATGACACTAAGACCAGTGAAAAATGTACATAGATACTGACACATTACTGAACCCAAATTGTCAAGTGCTATGTATAAATATTTAAAATTTGTTTTGTTTTTCGAGACAGGATTTCTCTGTGTGGCCCTGGCTGTCCTGGCCTTAGAACTCACAGAGATCCACCTGCCTCTGCCTCCTGAGTGCTGGGATTAAAGGTGTGCACTACTGCATGGCTTTATTTAAAGTTTTTAGAAAATGTTCACATATACCTGACTGAAACCTGCAGGAAGGAGGGTCTAAACTTCAAGATGTCAAAGAGGAGGGCCAGGATGAGAAAATAAAGCTGACGGCTCATGCCAGCAAGTTTATTAAGCAGCACAGCCTCCCATGCACTGTTACAGGGAAAACGCGACAAGGTCAGCTGGACTAATCAAGTCTGGTTGTGCAAAGGGAACACACGACATCTTAAGTGTGTCACAGACCAGCATGTCTCAGGGACTAAGAGCCACCGCCCTTCAGGGGTAAAAGTTGGGTTCCCACAAAACCTTGACTCCCTAGAGGCCATGTCCCCAGCCCCAAACCAGACCTTGCCAAGTCTGATTGTAGGCAAGGACACAGTATTCCCTTTGTCCTTTCTTCAGGACCTCTCAGAAGGCCTTGGATTGGCTTGGTCCCAACAAGAACCAGGAGTGAAAGCTCACACCTATACCCACCCTGTGAAGTAGAGGGAGGAGAATCAGAGCTCAAGGTCAGCTTTAGTACAGAGTAAGTTTGAGGCCAGCATGCGAAGAGACCCTGCTTCAAAAGAACAAAGGGGAAGAGAAGGGATGGATATGAACAAAAGACACTGCATACATGTACATATTCTCAAAGAATTGTTGGGGGAAGGCGTTTTTTGAGATAGGGTTTCTCTTTGTAGCCTTGGCTGTCCTCGAACTTGCTCTGCAGACCAGGCTGGCCTTGAAGTCAGAGATCTGCCTGCCTTTGCCTCCCAAGTGCTGGGATTATAGTCATACACCACCACTGCCTGGCCAAAGAATATTTTTTTTTTTAAGTTAAAAAAACAACAACAAATAAATGGATGAGGAAAAAAAAAACATACAAAGGTACCAAAAAGGACATTTCCTGACCCTGACCTTTCATTATTGGTATTATAATTTAAAGACAAACTAAAACAATGTATTAGGCAAAAAGTAACAAGCGATCTGGAACTCAAACAGGAGAACGTTGTCAGCTTGGCAGGTGTTTTTCTCGGGAGGCCTCGACTCCAATTTATTTCCATGTAGCTGAGAACGACTGTGTACACTCATCCTCTGCCTCTATGTCTCTCCAGTGAGCCCAGCTCAGAGCATGTTTTCATTCCTTTTCTTTTTGGGGGAAAGATTTTTGAAATGGGGACTCACTCTGCAGTCCAGGCCAGCCTTGAGCTAAGAGCAATCCTCTTGCCTGAGCTTCCAGAGTGATAAAGAGAGAGATGTGAGCCACGACGCCCAGCTTGTCTTCACTTAACTCGGGACAACCTAAGCTTGGCATAATGGCACATGCCTGGATCTCAGCAATTAAAAAGCCAAGACAGGAAGACTGAGATGGAAGGCCAGTCCAGGCTACCCAGGAAACAAAGAAAACCTTAGAAAACTGAAAAACAACCAGTACACGCTAAAACATGTTTTTCCGTCTCCCCATTACTGTAAGAAATCTCTGAACAAAATGTGTTGGATAATTCAGAGAACAGATGAAACTCTATAGAAAGGTAAAATCTGAACATTTCTTACTTTTCCCCTGGCTTCTGATGTCAAGGACATGGTAATGATGTCTTTTCTAAAACCCACCATGGTCTCTGAAGGACTGCAAGGTGAACTGTCTGCTCTCACTGCTTGGGATCTGTTCACCCTTAACCATGACTTTAACAGGATATGACCAACAGTATATCCTGTTATTTTGTATTTGCTATTGTGTATACCTGAGACCTCAGAAAATGTACATTGTAAAGGTCAGAGTCTTGGCTTGGATTATGTAATAACTTTAGCACAAAAAGCCTAAGATTAGTATGCTCTCATTCAAATCAAGAAACACTGATCCTGTTACAACATCGCAGCACTACAATTTGTGAGTGTGCACACGTGATGTTCACACTGTCAACTGCACAGGACTGAGAGTCACCTTGTGAGTGCACACATGTGACGTTCACACTGTCAACTGAACAGGACTGAGAGTCACCTTGTGAGTGCACACACGTGACATTCACACTGTCAACTGAACAGGACTGAGAGTCACCTTGTGAGTGCACACGTGACGTTCACACTGTCAACTGAACAGGACTGAGAGTCACCTTGTGAGTGCACACGTGACATTCACACTGTCAACTGCACAGGACTGAGAGTCACCTTGGAGATAAATCTCTGGGGGTGCCAGTAAGGATTTTCTACATTAGATTAATTTACATGGAAAGATCCACCCTAAAAGTGGGTGGCACCTGGGTTGGGGTCTCAAAATACGTAAGAAGGAGAAAGTTGGCTCAGCAAAATCTTCCTCCTTCTGTCCCCTCTGCCTCTCCCTTCTATCACAGCTTCCTCAAGTGTAAGCGGAAGTAAACCCTCCTCCTTCAAGCGTACTGTAGGGTGTCTGCACCGGGAGAAAAGTAACCAGCACACTTCCTCGCACAAACATAACCCTACTTCTGAAGTCAAACCTCAAGAGATGCTTAGTACAAATGTCACTACTGTATATATCTGGTCAATAATGAGTTGCTTTAGAAGACAAATCAAGGTGTATTAGGTGTGTATCCTACAGCATCACATTTTTAGAACACTGATTTGGTGTTCGGTGACTGGAATCCATCAGTATGGTAACCTAACATGTACGGATTGGCCAACTCCAATGAACGCAGTATAGAGTGGAGAAGCAAAAGCACCATATGAACTGATGTCTTCAGACTTAAACAAGGTTTGCCTCCTCCCTGCTCTGAGACTGTGTCTCCTGTAACCCAGGCTGGCCTCCAACTCTGTAGGCAAGGATGACCTTGAACTCCTGACCCTTTGGCCTTCAGCTCCCCTGTTCTGGGATTACAGGTATGCACCACCATACCCAGCTTATGTGGTACCAAGGGTCAAACCCAGGGCCCTGTGCATACGAGGCAAGCACTTACCAACTAAGCTATACACCAACCCACCTATTAAAGAAGGGTTTTCACAGCAAATAAAACCAGCAGTGCCCAAATGAGCAGGTTAGTATGTTGACTCACGTCTAACACACTTAGTAGAGACAACCCAAGTGGCTAATGCAAGCCTGCTAAGAGCTCAGTGCTTTCGGAGTGCTGGTTTCCAGCGACAGCTGAGTACATACCCTTAAGGAGTAGTCACTCTCAGGGGCAATCTGGTCCATCCTCTCTTGTTTCTTGTACCCTTTCTTCCCTGCAATGTCATCTAAATCCTCGGGAATTCTGATGTCATATTTATCCTTTTCAAAATCAAATTCTGTTGCATTTTTGTAACTGTAAGAAAAGAATTCAGAAAGAAGCAAAATTTAACTTCACATCAAGAAAAATAAGCCAATACTAAATGGTAAGAAAAAACAAATAAAAAAGCAAACGAACAGTAGGACAAGGGGTCAGGGGTCAAGTACAAAGCAATCCAAGACAAAGAAAAAGCACCAGGAGGACTCAGGAAAACCACATCAACCAGGAGCTGCTGGGCAGAACATAACATGGCACAGTGCCCCCGGAGAAAGCCTAACAACACAGAAACTCCGTTCCTGGGCATTCCCAAGGACACCGCACTGATTTTACAGCCGTCTCTGGTGGTGTCAGGCTATGCACAATCCACATGCTTCTGAAGAGGTGAGGTGGTGAACAACTGGACCGGAACTCCCATCAGTGTGAAAAGCTGCCAACCACCGTGCTGATAAGTACAAGAGCTGGAGACACCTGAGGACCCAAGGGTCTCACACTAGTTCCCTTTGGTCGCCTTCTGAAGGGACAGGACCAAGCAAAGGTCAGGGGCTCCTGACTAGAGAAGCACAGCAGAGGAAGAGAGTGTGGCTGCAGCACAAGGTGGGTGCTGCCTGAGCCACGTGCCCCGCACTGCACCCTAGGGACGCGAGAGCCACCGCACATGAACTACCAGTTCCTGAAAACCAGAGAGCTTGACTGACAAGGAGAGAACCAACCAGGAAGAGGGACGAGAAGGTGAAGGGAAGCACAAGGAGATGCGGTACATCAGGAAAGCAAACGCTAAAGTGCTTCAGTCTCACACCATTTGTGCTGTTTCCACGGTTCAATTACTGCAGGCTTCTAACAACTACTTACTGAGATTCAAAGCTCTTGACTGTAAAGGAGTGTATCCGAAGACAAAGAAGGACTCATTTTAATTTTTAAATTTATTTCATTTACGTATTGCGTGCATGAGAGAGAGAGATTTAAAGATTTAAGAACAACTTTGGCGAGTTCACTCTTCTTCCACACCATCTGAGGGACTGCAGGCGTGGCTGCAAGCTTATCTTTACCCATTGAACCATCTCACAAATTCAAGAACAATCCATTTTTAGCAAGGCAAAATTTTGCTGGATTGTTAGCTCATGCAATCTAATTTTTACAAGCTATTCTTCCTAGCTAGTATTTCACCTTTTTTTCTTTCTTTCTTTCTTTTTTTTTTTTTTTTTAAGGTCGTTTTTGTTTCTGAGCCTAGGAATGGAATAATAGAGATATAATACTATTAAAAACTATGGCCGGGCGGTGGTGGCGCACGCCTTTAATCCCAGCACTCGGGAGGCAGAGCCAGGCGGATCTCTGTGAGTTCGAGGCCAGCCTGGGCGACCAAGTGA